GTCCGGGCTGCCCCCAGCCATGGGGCCCAGGTGTCCGGGCTCCCCCAGCCATGGGGCCCGGGTGTCCGGGCTCCCCCAGCCATGGGGCCTAGGTGTCCGGGCTGCCCCCAGTCATGGGGCCCAGGCGTCCGGGCTCCCCCAGCCATGGGGCCCGGGTGTCCGGGCTCCCCCAGCCATGGGGCCCAGGTGTCCGGGCTCCCCCAGCCATGGGGCCCGGGTGTCCGGGCTCCCCCAGCCATGGGGCCCAGGTGTCCGGGCTGCCCCCAGTCATGGGGCCCAGGCGTCCGGGCTCCCCCAGCCACGGGGCCCGGGTGTCCGGGCTGGCTGGCCGGCGGCGGGCGGGCGCGGGGCCGTACCGGGCAGCGGGGCGCTCTCGGGACAGGCGCTGCGGTACCAGCGGTGCCAGTCGCGCGGCAGCAGCTCCAGCGAGCGGCTCAGCCCGTGGAAATGCGGCACCTTGTCCAGCTCCGTGATGTGGTCCCAGGCCTCGGCCGAGAGCCACCCGGGACACGGGTTGTCCATCTGCTCCTCGCGGTCCTGCACCTGCGCCACGCCGGCCGGTTGTGCCGTGTGAGGCTGTGCGCTTGTGCCGTGTGCGCTTGTGGGGTGTGAGGTTGTGCGGTGTGAGGTTGTGCGGTGTGAGGCCGTGCACTGTGCGCTTGTGCGGTGTGAGGTTGTGCGGTGTGAGGTTGTGCTATGTTGAGGTTGTGCGGTGGGCGCTTGTGCGGTGTGACGCTGTGCAGTGAGGTTATGCGCTGTGCACTTGTGCAGTGAGAGGCTGTGCAGTGTGAGGTTGTGCGGGGGGCGCTTGTGTGCTGTGAGGCTGTGTGGTGTGCGCTTGTGCGGTGTGAGGTTGTGTGGTGTGAGGTTGTACAGTGTGAGGTTGTGGCGTGTGAGGCTGTACGTTGTGAGGTTGTGCAGTGTGTGCGCTTGTGGGGTGTGAGGGGGTGTGGTGTGTGCTTGGGTGCGAGGTTGTAATGAGCGGTTGTGGGGTGTACTGTTGTGGGGTATGGGGTTGTGGGGCACATCTATGGTGACATTCAGGGGGCTGCCTGTGTGCGGGGTTGTGGGGTGTGAGGTTGTGTGGCGAGGGGTTGTGGGGCTGGGGGTGTGCCCGTGGGGTGTGCACGCTTGTGGGGATGGGTTTGTGGGTTATGCGGCTGTGTGCGGGGCTGTGGGGTGTGCGGGCGGGGGTTGCTGTCGGGAGCGGTGTGTGGCGCGGGGTTGTAGGGTGTGCGGTGGTGAGGCGTGGGGTTGCAGGGCACACCGTTGTGAGCTGTACAGACGGGGGTGGTGCGGTTATGGGGCTGTAGGGCAGCTGGGTGTGCGCTCGGGGGTGAGCGGGTGTGCGGCGCGGAGTCGCCGGGTGCTGCCACGGGGCAGGGTGGCACAGCGGGGTGTTGCGGAGGGGTGTTGCGGCAGGGTGTTGCGGGGGGGTGTTGCAGAGGGCTGTTGTGGAGGGCTGTTGCAGCTGGGTGTTGTGGCGGGGTGTTGTGGCAGGGTGTTGCGG